GAACACCAGACTCCTCAACTAAAACACAGACTTGACAGAAAAAGAGAGATGCAGCCTCTGTCTTTTCTTCCAGAACAGTCTTGAAAATGTTCTCCCCCCCCCGCGCTCCTTGATTTACTGTTTTTTTTTTTTAAGGAGATTCCACACTAAGGATCTGTGTCTGGAGCAGAAGCTCCGTCTGTGACATGGTAAAAGTGGGGTTAGAGACACTGCAGAGAGAATGGGGGACATTTCAAAAACATGTTCATGTTTGTAAAATGATCAGAAATGTTTTTTTCCCCCCCATAATGTTTGGACTATCACTAATCATTTGTGCAGAGAAGAAGCTGTCCTTCATTCATCAAAACATTTTCCTGAGTGACTTTGAACACTCACTGCTTTCATATTCCCCGTAATATGCTTAGATTCTTATTTCCTTTTATCTAAACAAACTGTGAAAAATTACAAATGTCCTTTTTTCTTTTGGTGGTAAGGGTAAAATAAGAAATTTGGATCTGTCTATCTTCAAGATAAAGATATATTGTGCTGAAGCTAATGCATTTGTTTTTTTTCACAATCAAAATTACATTCATATTTCCAGCTTTTAAAGATAATTAACTTTTAGTATATTTTCTTCCTTTTTTTCCCTTGGTTGTATTTTGCGGTAGGCTGTAGCTCAGCCTGGGATAAATATCAGCCATTTTGTGCCTGAGCAGGAGAAGGGTGAAATCAGATCTCTATTGCAGAGATGACTTCTCCTCCGATAACCGCTAAACCAATAATCAATAGTCAGTCCTTGACACTTCATTTGCCAAGTTAAATCAGTGTCAAATATTTTATTATAGTTTTCATTGTTCTGCTCCGTGGTTTTGTTGAGCATTTCAAACAAAGTGTCTGGCTGGCTTTTGATTTGTTTTTAAAGTAATGTGTGCTTTGATTTTTTTTGTTGTTGTTGACAGATTTAAATAAATGTATTTCATATTGATGTGGTGTTTTATGTGTATTTCTATATTACCATTCCTCACCAACATAGACCATTATAGAGAAACAGTGTCTCACTTTGTGTACTGTAGATACAGATATAACACAAAGCCATATAAATAATTCCACTTATCTTACATTTTTCTACAAAGGTCCTTGCAGATATGGAATGCAACAAACATAGGTGATTCATACTTGCTGCACACCAGATTACATGCTGCATTAAAAAAAAAAAAAAATCATAAAGATTCATGATCAGACGTGACAAAAGCAAATATTCCTCAAGACTTGAATGGAATATCCTGTGCCTTTTTAAAATGTACTCTTATAGGCCAACAGGAACTGTATATTTTTTTATTTTATTTTAAAAAATAGTATCCCACATCACATCATGTATTAAATAGCTCTGAAAACAGGTATAGAGACTATTTCAGGACCAACAGCCATATATTTATATCTATTACAGAAAACAGGTAGGTATTTGAATTTGCTTAGTTTTCATTTTTTTGCATAGCAGTTTAGCATCATTGCATAGTTTTTCAGTCCAGTACAAAGAAGGTTTATGCTTGCAAAGCTAAGACATGAGTAAGACATTTGTGAAAAAGCACCAATCAGGACTTTTTCATAGAATGACTGACAGTTAGGCCTAAACCTAAACAGATGGATCCAAACATCAGCAGAAACAGCATTAGGCTCTCAAGGGATCTCACAGAAACACAGTAGGGCAACGCAATGTGACCGAATTAATATTTTTTTCTGTTTTCTTTGCTCTGCCATGCTTACATCACCAAAAAACATAAATGCATTCCAGAAATGTTTACCTAACATATCTTTGGAATCAATAGTTTCTGGAGTGCTACTCCTCTCACTTGAGGGAGAAGGACAGTATTACCTCTACATCGGCAAGTGGCAAGCAAGTCTGTTGCAAATGATGTTTATCGCTCAACTTTTACAGTTTGCTTCACATTTAGTTTACACATTTACCATGAAGATAGAAATATTATATCATTTTCAATTCAGATGTAGTTATTTGGGTTTGTTGATCACAATATAATTATTTTGTTTAGACTACTTTCGACTTGAATATGTGACACAATAACAAATGGCTGACTTTCCTACATGCATTTAAAGGCAGCATTGTGATTTGACAATCGCTTTTACGACAATTTTGATCATAAAATCCACTAATTATGTCTAACAATTGCTAATAATATGTGTCACAGTCTCTTCCATGTAGAATTATATCACACCTACACAGCTGAGCTGTAATCAAACACAGATGGATGCTTCTCTACAATCTCCACCCATCCTCTGTCTATCAAACCCTCTGAGCCCTGATAGGGCATGCCCTCTTGTACGGTGGTTGTGGTTTTCTTCTTCATTCCTCTTGTTCTCACCCAGAATGGCTTGCTGACATCTGATTTTGACTTTCTGCATGTGATCTTTGGTTGTTTACAGACATCCATTGCTTTGCTTTCTTGGTGGTGCTGTGGCCGAACGCGGCGTAGGACCCGTTTGAAGATGCTTGCTGTTAGTGAGAGTTTCTTGGAGAGATCTTGAGAGTGACTGTTAGATGATGACTCCGAAAGTGTGTCTTTAAGAATCAAGTCATTCCGCTCCTTACCTGCTGTCTGGCCTCCAACATCAGGCAGGTCCAGCCAGTTCCCAACCAAATCAGCAAAAACATTGTCACCCAATACCAATGGCTGTCTGTTTCTACTGTGGTTCATCAATGAGGCTGTCCAATCCGTGGAGTCATCGATATCATATGAAGAGAAATTGTTGTCGGTTGTGTCTTCCTGAGAGGAAAAGGAGGAAGAAGTGCTCAGACTTCCTCTGTAAATCATCCTGGGTTCATGTACCCTGGGAGTTTGGCGGTTCTCTGCTGGAGAACTAGTGAGGAACAAAGACGGTTCCATGATAAGCTCCGTCTTGAAACATTCTTGTGAAAGAATTTCTTCTGGATTCTGTGTTCGGTTCAGGTGGGTTATTCTTGAACTGTACTTTATCTGATCGAGCATTGTGTGAGTGTATGAAGAGGCCTGGCTCGTTTTACTGGAGAACTCCAGCTCCTCCAGTGCAGTCTGGACCTGCAAGAGTTTGAGCTCCTGGAGAGCGCCAATCACAGAATTCATCTGAGCTTGGAGACCCTCATCTGACTGCCACAAAGAATCCTATAATGGGAAAGGCAAGAAAGCAATTACTATAGACATAATGAAGCAATTATCAATGAAATCTGTTGTGACTGATGAATAACGCTTATCTCACACTCACTTCACAGTAATTATCAAAAATCAATATTACACCAGTCTGCAATTTCTGCCCAGTGTGCCATCACAGATACCTGGCTCAGCATCTGCTGAAGAGAATGCAGATGTTTTTTCCTTGTCACAGCTTCCAAATGAATTGCTTACTAGGAGGATTAAGGCATGATTTCCTTTAAAGCTGATTTGAAACTACACTACTGATTGATCAAAAATGACAATCAAGACATTTATATAAGTATAAAAATTTCAAATAAATGCTGTTCTTTAGATCTTTCTATTTACCAAAGAATCCTGAAAAATTCTCTCACGGTTTACACAATATTAAGCAGCACAACTATTTTCAACATTAAAAATAATAATAAAATAATTGTATTGAGCACCAAATCAGCATATTAGAATAATTTATAAAGGATCATGTTTTATTACATGTTTATGATGTTTATTAGTAAATAATTTTTTTTGACAATTATGAACATATAAAGTTGTAAACATTGTAAAAGAGGTTGTAAAAACATAGTTTTGTTAAATGTTAATGTGATTTATACGGAAAAGCAAAATGTCTTTAAGCAAAGTTATGAGCCAAAATGTTTATATACATTTTTGATATCCCATACTGAGTCTTTGTTTAGTTGTATTTATTTATTTATTCCATCTCTATACACTACAAAAATGCCCTTTTTCTTCTGTTACAGAATGTCATCCTACCTTCTTTCACCCTGCAGTCTCCACGATTCCCTGTCTTTCCTTCTCTCGTCTCACTCCCTGTTTTCTGTTCCTTCTCTCCCTTACAAGTGTGATTGATCACCAGCCAGTCTGAGCACAGCAGCACACCACTGATGCTTTTCTCCAGTAGTATTGTGTCTCAAGGCATGATGGGAGATGTAGGAGCTTATGTGAGTGAAATGACTAGACTGTAAGTCATGGGCGAACAGCTGAGGCATGTATTTTACTGGGTTGGTCATAAACGCAGGTGTAGGGAAGGACCTGAAACATTCCATTCAATATGAATTGGATATTTAAACAGGATGTTATATAGCCTGCCAGGGGCGGATTTAATGATTTGGGGGCCCCAGGCAAAATACAGGAATGGGGCCATATACAATTTCACACATTTACAACCTTGAGGTGCCTTTCACTGTTGCTCGCTGCTGCACGACCGTGTCCCTATTGTGTCTAATCTTTTAGATTTTTCATGTACATGTTATAAATAAAGGATTTCTTTTATATTGTAAATCCCTTGTTCACATTTAAACAGGTTATAATAGTATTAGAGTAGGTTGGACACTAGGTGGTGCGTTGGGGTAATTTTCACTATGCAATTGTCTACACAACGCAAGGCTGTCTAATTCTAAACGTTAAAATATAAATTTTTTATTTATTTTAATTGCACATTTAAATTAAACTGAAGGAAATTATAAATTTACATGCTTAAGGATTATTTCAACCAAACATGAAGTGTGCCTGTGTGGAAAGTGACTGTGCATGGTCCTTCTTGGGTCTTTCACAAAAACGAGTGAGCGCCATTTAAAAAAATTTAAATAGGCCCTATATAATATGCACTGTTGCTTAGTATTAAAATTATAGCTTCAGATGCATGATATTTGTAGGGCCCTATGAAATCCGTTTTATTTTTCCCAAATTAGCCTGTTTTATTTGTTCCTAAATCTT